GAGCTGTAAAACGCCTCTAACGGTCAGCTCATTAGTCGACTGATAAAAGCCGTCAGTCGACTGATCGCATAATAGCTAGTTTTTTTAGTCTTTGTCATGTTTTGGTTTTTTGGTCTTTTTGTTGGGGTTTCCTATAAATACCCCCTTATACCCAGCTCTATTTTAAGAACCAAGAATGTTTTAAATAAGTTTAACAAGGCTTTAAAGTTTGTTTAAAAGAGTGTTTAAGAGTTTTGTTTGTGAAGAGAATTTTACAAGAGCAAGTGGAGATCATCTATTGTGTTTGAGCATCCAATTATTCTCCCTATTGAGCTGACCATTAGAGAACCCTCAGATATATAGAGAAGTTTTTCTAAACTCTATTTCTAGCTATTTATATGTTTGAACTTAATTTCAATAAGCTAGATTTACATTGAGTTTAGTTTTGATTTATTTATCTCTTTGTTCACACACAACCTATTGAGCTTAATGTATTAACATTCGTAGTATAATTTAGGTTGTGTGTTTGTGACTTAGAGTGTGAGCTTATATTGTGTTCTCACCTTATTTCGGGAACAAATCATTTGTTGATTTGAGTGCTTAATTGTGAGGTTCACTTTGTATTGCACTAGTACACCGAGAGGAGGAGTGTGTGGTGAGAGACAGGGTCGTCGCAAGAGGAGTAGAGTAGGTGGTAATACTTAGAGAGAGGTTGTAATTCCTAACACTTGAGGGAGACACAGGCTAGAGACTAACACTTGAGGTGGTAGTTAGTGTGTTCACATTATGAATGATTATAAAGTTTTCGGTGAACTAGAAAACCGAATTGTGAGGTGTAATACGTTATTCAGGTGAACGTTGAAAACCCGATTCTGTAGTGGATTTCTCCCCGGGAGTAGGGAGTGGAGAAGTAGGACGGAAGGTCCGAACTCCGTGATCATTTGATTATGTTTGATCTTGCATTGGCGTTCATTTATACTTGTGCTCATTGCTTATATCGCCTATTGCATCTTATCTATTTCATCCACTATATTGTTTGCCCTTGCTTAGTTTACTTATCCTTGCATATATATATTGTTACATATCATATTTACTAGGATATTTGTTAATTAGTTTTAAATTAGCATAAATCGGATTAGATTAGCATAAACCCTAATCACCCCCCCTCTAGGGTTCCTTCCTAGTGGCATTAGGGTACTTTCATCCAAGTCATTGACAATTGTCACGGACGCTTAGTGATTCGACTACTCCTCCTCGAGATCTCACCTTAGCCGCTCGACTGAGAGACGACTTGATTAAGCGTCTTCCTCGGCCGCCAATTTAAGGCTCCTCTCAAACTCGACCTCCTTAGCCAAAGCAGTTAGTTGGTCATCCCGCTCAGAGATTCCTCACTGGAGACGTCTAACTTCCTCTTTTGCAGGGCCACCTTGCCCCTATGATCTGTGACCAAGTATGCTTGCTTGGCATTATGGGATCGGAGCCCCTCAAGGACTCTATCCCTAGCATCCACTTATATCGCCTATTGCATCTTATCTATTTCATCCACTATATTGTTTGCCCTTGCTTAGTTTACTTATCCTTGCATATATATATTGTTACATATCATATTTACTAGGATATTTGTTAATTAGTTTTAAATTAGCATAAATCGGATTAGATTAGCATAAACCCTAATCACCCCCCCTCTAGGGTTCCTTCCTAGTGGCATTAGGGTACTTTCATCCAAGTCATTGACAATTGTCACGGACGCTTAGTGATTCGACTACTCCTCCTCGAGATCTCACCTTAGCCGCTCGACTGAGAGACGACTTGATTAAGCGTCTTCCTCGGCCGCCAATTTAAGGCTCCTCTCAAACTCGACCTCCTTAGCCAAAGCAGTTAGTTGGTCATCCCGCTCAGAGATTCCTCACTGGAGACGTCTAACTTCCTCTTTTGCAGGGCCACCTTGCCCCTATGATCTGTGACCAAGTATGCTTGCTTGGCATTATGGGATCGGAGCCCCTCAAGGACTCTATCCCTAGCATCCACTTCTCGGCGCTAGCGGGCCTTGACACCATTTAATTCGGTCTCCAAGGCACCAACTTTCTTTTTTGCCTCTTTCTTGGCCGCCTTTTCCTTGGCCAGCTCCACCTGCCACTCCCACGAAGAATCGTGCATATAGTTAAGCTGCTCATACAACTCCTGCTCTAGTAGAGCCCCCGAACCAAGTGAGCCTTGAGAGCCAGATGCAAGCTAAATCTTGGCATCCACTTCAGAACCCCCTCATCCTTCGGCAGGGTGAACTACTCCACAGCTATGATTGGGGCAGAGAGGGATCCTAAAATCAACGTCTACCTTTCAAGAGATGCCGACAGGATGAACTTGTCGCCCTTAAGAAGTTCCCTCCTAGGCAAACAAGGGCCCAGCGGCACTCCCACCAACATCGCATTTGTCTCCTCCCAATCTCGAGAGTCAACATCCGAGATCCAGTGAAGGAAAGGCCAGAAGCCTTCCTACACTTTGGCGGCTTCATGCTCTTCAGCAGCCTCGTCCACCCTAGATTCGGGATGGGATGCTACTTGTTCCTCAACACCCGTTGCTGGACCTGACTGGCTCTTTGCCTGGCCAATGAGTCGACTCGAGCTAAGGTGTCGACTCAATAGCCTCTTCAACAATGGTCCCAGCTTCAGCGATTTAAGTTGATGGAGCTGCCTCCCTGGGCATGGGAGAGATATCGATGATATCGACCTCATCAGGCCGACTAGCTTGAGCGGCCGATTGCTCCTCGACCGACCGTTGTTCTGTAGCTGGTTTGACCCGGACTAATCCTATCACCTGTTATGCAGCTGGTTAGACTTGGCGTTTGGTCGCTAACTTTTTCGACCTCACCTATTGCCCCACTAGTTGGGCAGTAATTTTGGTCACTTGAGACCTCATATCGGCTACCTTTTCATGCTCTAGGTACCCCCTCAGCCTCTTCTGGGGCCTAGTGACGGAGCCTGACTCCTAGCCCCTCGACTCCGTCTCCTGACTTCTAGCAAGAGGGAGGGCCAGCAGACTCACCCTAGCCTTGTTGACTCCAGTAGGTAAGATCATCGAGATATGCGCCACCCGGAGTGACGTTGTGTCAAAGAGGTTGCTCCTCTCCTGGGATCCAGCATAGGACTGGATCTTCTATAATTGTCATCTTTCCTCAGCATAGAGGGCTTGACCTCAACGCGTCCTTGTTTATTTTGGGCCACTCGGAACATGAGAGGACACCGTCGGCACTGAAAATCCAGACAAAATGCTCCTTCCAATCCCTATTAGATTCTGGAGCATCCGAAATGAATTTGAAGCTGCTAGTGTAATGGAATAAATAATAGGGATCCTTTCTTGTTAACTTGATGCTAACCAAATGCCCAAGCAACTTCATGCTAGGCAGGACACCAACTCTATGGCAGATAACGATGAAAGCCACCAGGACCCCAATGACATTAGGGTCGAATTGAGAAGGGGAAACCCCCATAGCGATGCACGCGATCTATATGAAGGGATGAAGTGGCAGTCGGAGTCCATGCTTAAGGTGGGCCAAATATAGTGGTACTCTGTTGTGCCCGTGGTGGTACACCGGATCATTTCCGTTTGACTCCGCCAGTGTGAAGGCTCTTAGGATGTCGTAGAGGCCATAGTACCCTTCAAGACTCACAATCGAGACCCTCGAATAGATAGGCCAGAGAAGATTAATTTCTCCTCGTTGCGACCACTGACGAAACTTTAAGAAGCCATGAAAAGTTTTCGTTGCAAAAAATTTGGGAAGTTTTGAGAGGAAGAAACACTGGAGATTTGGAAGCAAGAACTGATAAAGAGTTCTTCTCTCCCCCCATCATACTATTTATAGCATTCAAGGGATGCATGGAATTAATCGGGCGGTTGCCTCGTTTTGAAATGAACGGGCAAGATTCATCTCGAAATCTTAAACGTCCATCACGAGATTTGAAGCGCCATTCCCTTTTTAATTCGTGTCAGTTTACTAAAAAATCGAAGTGTCATTATTAAGTTCTAATAATTAACAAAGCATCGTGTCGTTTTGAACAATGACATTTACATACCCAATAAAGGCTTCTAGAAACTCACTAAATGATATTTATTAAGCAAGCAGTCGACCATGTCCTAGTCGACACTCAGTAGCCGACAACTGACTTCAAGAAAAGTGGCTTAGGCACTTGTCTAAAGACATTTAGATGCTGACTAGTAAGTGGTCGGCCCAATTGGTTTTACTAGTCCTATACTTAGACAAAAAACTAAAGCATCGAGTGATTACTCAGGTTTGAGACATCTTTTTTAATAGAAGATGAGTCGACCCTCGAGTATGCAGGCAGAATTTTCAAGTCCATAAAGAAGCTAAGTCATTCAGCAAACACTTTGAAATTTTGCGACACAAGAAAATACAATTCCAAGTTCAAAAAAGTACTTTTTCATTCATTGATAAAGTATCTTACAAGTTACAAAGTATGAAATATATACAAAAAAATAAAAAGCTGGGAAGATTCCTAAGAGACCTAAGGGAAGTCCATTCCAGCTTCCGGAGTTGGAGGCGGGGAGCTCTTGGGTGCAGTCAGCGGAGGAGTCGAGCAATCTTGTGCGACGCCCTATGAAATCGGCGTTGCTGCTGTGCCCTCTGATCCTGTTGATGACCCTTCTTATGGATCAGAGGGCAACAGTGATGGATAGAGTTTATAAAGGACTACAGAGGGCATAGTAGCGACGCCGATTTCATGGGGCTTGTTTTAATTGCAACAAGCTTGGACACAGAGCAGCAGAGTACCGCAGCGCACCCACAGCAGGATAGCAGGGTAGGAATCTGTAGCAGCAGCATCAGAACCGTACTCAAGGACGTGGTCAAGATCAGCAGTTAAGGATTGAGGCACCTCCAATAATCCCGAGGATTGAGGGATATGTACCAGCAATTCAGGGGACCCAGCAGGGACAGATAGTCCCATACGTTCCAGGTGATGCAGCACAATAGACTGGTAGAGTGTATGCAGTTGTTCCTCGCGATCATGGCGCAAGCGGAATGGTGGTGGAAGGTACTTTCCTTATAAATTCCTTTCCAGCACGTATTTTTTTTACTCTGGCGCTTCGCATTCTATTATCTCTTACGATTTTATGGTTAGACTTCAGCTTGTGGCGTAGCCATTAGATTTTTCTTTATCTGTATCTACTTCTTTAGGGGAGACGTCTCTTTTATAGAGTGTTTGTAGGAGATGTATCGTTAGTTTGGATGATTCCGAGTTCGGGATTGACTTGATCGTGTTGCGTGTGTCTGAGTTCGATGTTATCCTTGGTATGGATTAGTTATCTTCCTACCATGTGAGTATGGACTATTTTATGAAAACAGTCAGTTTGTGAGCTTATGATGGACCTGAGTTAGTGGTAGCGACCTCCAGAGGCAACCAGTTTGTGGAGTCATATCTAGCATACATCGAGGAGTTCATATTGCAGGATCGGGGCACATATTTGAGTGAGATGCGAGTGGTCTCAGAGTACCAGGATGTCTTCCAGGATATACCAGGATTACCTCGAGTGAGAGAGGTCGAGTTTTGCATAGAGTTACAGCCAGGCACCGCTGATTTCCCGAACTCCTTACCATATGACGCCTGCTGAGATGAAGGAGCTGCAGATCCAGCTAGATGAGTTGTTATCTCAGGGATTCATTCGACGGAGTCACTCTTCACGGGGAGCACCGGTCCTCTTTGTGAAGAAGAAGGATGGGCGTATGTGATTATGCATTGATTATCGCGAGTTGAACAAGGTCACTATCCGAAACATGTACCTATTGTTTGTGGTAAAAATTGATTGTTTCATTGCGGGATTCATTACAAACTTCAGACGTTTACAACGAATACAAAAAATTAGTCTTTTTATAAGACTTTTATACAATAAAAAAAATACAATTCTCTTCAAACAAACGCAACGAGTGTTTATCGCCCGCTGCTTGCGTGGGATCTTGGCCTGTGACGGGGACGCGTTAGTCCGTGGACCACCGAACGATCAATATTTGGACAGAGTTTCGTCTATCCGCGAAGGGATCGAGAAACCGTAGCTCTTATCTCGACGAAGCGAGATAATCACTCTTCTTAAGATTACCGCAATGGGATAATCCTAAGGAACGAACCGGGCTGCAGATCTAACTCCTCCTCCTCTCTGAAATCTGGGCACTTTAAGTCTTCAATCCGGCAGGGCTTCGCCGAGGCACGAGAATTCCAGATGGGTTGGAAAGTTGACAAAAATATCTACAACTTTCATGTTTTGAGTTTCTTCAGATTCTAACAGGATCATGGTCAAAATAGCTCCACAAGTTCCGAGACACCTTTGGGTGTCTCGGCCAGGTCCGAGACACCTTTGGATATCTCAGTACTATTTTGATCATAACTTCCTCATATGACCTCTGAATGATCTGATTCCAGATGGGTTGGAAAGCTGACAAAAATATATACAACATTTATGTTTTGAGTTACTTCATATTCAAAAAGAATCATAGTCAAAATAGCTCCACAAGTTCCGAGACATCTTTGGGTGTCTCGGCCAAGTCCGAGACACCCTTTGGTGTTTCGGCTTTGGCCGAGACACCCTTGGGTGTCTCAGCTTTGGCCGAGACACCGAGACACCTTAGGGTGTCTCGGTTGTGCCGAGACACCTTGGGTGTCTCGGTTGTGCCGAGACACCTTGGGTGTCCCAGTTCAGCCTGAGACGTTCCGTTATGCCTGTTTGTTCGTTTTCGCCGTAACTTCTTCATCCGAACTCGGATTTGAACGATTCAAAGTACATTGGAAAGCTGACAAGAAGTTCTATAATCTCCAATGATTAGATCATTTGTAGAATAAATGAGACACGAAGGGCATTTCGTCTTTTGTAAGTGACATGGGGCTCCCGATCAGTTCGTATCCTTATTATTCTGAAACTCCGTTGCTCCAAATAGTTCGTCAACCCACTTCATGTGTTTGTCGACATCAATCAAGCTCCTGTGACTTGGATTTTTGTGACGTTCATTGTCTTTTCTTAGCACTGAGCCATTCGTGGAGACCTATAGGCAATTTTCGATGCCTACAGATACCCCCTCCAAAGCGTTCCAGACTCGTTTCTTTTGTAGAAGAGGCTGGAATACTTTGGATATGATTAGTCCAACCTTCAGTCGGCATGAAAGACCTGTAGTTAGCTTCGACTCTTGACTCCTTCGATTTTCAGTCTATTCGATGCTTTGACGAATAGCTGAAGTCCTTCCGGCGCTGCGTTTATTATCTGGCCGTCGTTGAAGTCTCAAATCTAAAACTGATGAGTTGAGTTTGGCTCGTGTCATCGAGTTGACTTTGAACTGACTACCTCCGTCATGATATATTTACTCGCGTTGACTTTTTGATCGCAACGCGTTGACTGGCGTTGACCTAGGGTTACGCGTTGACCAGCGTTGACCTTAGGGTTTTGAACGTCGTGCGTTAGCTTTTTTGACCGCAACGCGTTGACTGGCGTTGACCTAGGGTTACGTGTTGACCGGCGTTAACCTTAGGGTTTTGAACATCATACGTTGACACGCGTTGACCGGCGTTGACCCTAGGGTTTCGAACGTCGTACGTTGACTGTTTGATTGCAACGCGTTGACTGGCGTTGACCTAGGGTTACGCGTTGTCCGGCGTTGACCTTAGGGTTTCGAACGTCGTTGGATGCTCAAGTCACAAGACCAACTAATGGAGCTGATGCGTCAGTGACTTTCGTATTTATAGGATTTTTGGCAAACCCTCAGCCATTAACGGGTTTGATGAGCCTTTACCGACTACCGTTTGATTCGGGCTAGCATGCAGATTGTTTAAGTCCGTTCCGCATGTGACGTTAAGCTAAAAGAGTTAACCCTTTTAGTGCTACGATATTGAATACGTAGACTTTGTTTTTCTCCTGTGAAAAGACTAAACAGCGATGTGTATCAGACATTGACTTAGGATTTTTGGCAAATCCTCAGCCCTCAACGGATTTGACGTGCTCTTACCGATTACCGTTTGAATCGGGCTTACATGCGGATTGTTTTAAGTCCGTTCCGCATGTGACGTTGTGCTAAAGGAATGAATTCCCTTAGACTTGATGCTACGACTTCGAATACGTAGACTTCGCCATTGTTACAGGAATAG